AAAGTTTTCGAAAAGATCACCAAGCCATACAATGATAGAGCAAACACAGCCATGTCGTGATCATCATTTAAATGCTCTTGAATAAAATTTCATAGAAAGTCCCAACGAATGTCGAGATGTTCACTTTTAGGCTTTACGAATGAATCAATGATTTTCACTTTAACCCTCATAAGCTTGGCCAACTTTTTACAATAACTTAATTTTGACTTTCGAGTAAACACTTTATCTAGACATTGTAGTTTTATACCAAGTAAAATCGAATACTCTTCAATAGTTGGTATCAAATCTTCCTGATTAAAAGTGAAACTTTTATAGGATGGATCTCAAAATTGTATAGCTACCTAAATCAATTGTTCATCCATCACTATCAAAATAAGGGACGCAATCTGCCCGTACTTTTTACAAAAATTTTCTTTTATTTCTTCATTTAACTAACCTCAAATAGCAGCTAAGTCTTCTAAATCATTCTGTGTAAGATCCAAATGCACTTTCTAGGGGTAACTCAGACACATAGCCGATAGGCGAGCAATCTTCATTCTTTTGTTGGGCTTCTTTTGATCAAACATGTACTTTATTATGCGACTCACATGGATACTGATGAGGATGAGCAAATCTATAGTTCTATGGGATCCATGAAAACTTCTTGAGAGAAATATATCATAGAGCAAATATCTCGATGCAGAACTGTATGATTGATTAATGCAAAAAAAAAAAAACGAAACAAAAATTGAGTTAGTGTGAAGATGCGATTTGAAAAAAAACATTTTTTTTGTTGAGTTTTGGGATTTTTTTTTTTATTTTGTTTTATATTACACAACTTTTATTTTGAGGTATTTCTTACAATAAAGTGGATGAAGCTCTACCTAAGCTGGTTTTCTAGGCTTATTACATGCTGAGTTTGGATTAACACATGTTTAAAGGTTCTCAAATTGTTCGTCACTATTGTCCACGCTGGACTAGTGAGGCACCCCAATCCTCACCCATTATAGGCTACAAACGAAAAGGGTTTAATTTGAGTGAAAGTATTTCACTTGTCATTGCGAAGGTTATCACCTCACGAGGGCATAGGTACTTTACTTCCTCCTATAAAGGACAGAGCCCGGGTATAGAGCTCATGCATGAGATGCATCGTGTTATTGTATGTGCAAATATATCTAAATTTATTGAGAGTAATATAAAAATAATAATAATATAATAAAATAAAGCATAAGAGGTATAATAAAAGAAACAAGTGTGAATTTTTTTCTTTTTGTTTTTGATTTTTTTCTTTGGAAAGTGAAAAATAAAAATCTAAGAAACCGATTAAGACTATTTAAATCCAAATTTAAGAATAACACATAGTTAATTTTAGCCTGACTCTCAAAAACAAATGGTGTCCTCAGTGGAGTCGTCAAGCTGTCATAACGATTTTATGTCCGTCAGACAAATTTGGAAATGAAATAAAAAATAACGGAGTTACCACCAATCTTTTTTGGCTAGGTGCGATTGGCCACCTATTAAAACATATCATTTTAATGAACTCTTAAATTTTATTAAAATTTATTAAAGAATAATTTTAGGGTCTGCGCAACAATCTGGGTTCAGAAGTCGGTTACGTGTGGGGAAGGATTGCACCCCCACAGTGCCTGTTTAAAAATGCTACCAATTAACTACATGTTATCCTTTGATTTGATAAAAAATAGTCTCATTTTCGGTGTTTGAAAAATAATTTTCTTGATTTTTTTAATTATTAGAAATGTTTTTTTATTATTAAAAAAATAAATTATAACCTTTTTATTTAAATAATTTTTAAAATATTTCCAGTACATTGGTAACATTAGAATAATTCTTTCTCACCTAGAGATTTCGTAGGCATCGCTTCTCGAAATACCTTAGAATCTCATCTTTGGAGGCTTAAATTTATTTTTCATAAAAAATTTATGTCATGCATGCAATGCAGAATGTTACCATGTTGATCCACACATTTAATTCTCTTTTTTAAAAATTTTATTAATTTTTTAATTTTTTTAATTTAAATTTTGAAGAAAAAGAAATTTTTATTACATTGAAGATTTTTCATAAATATTTCAATATACTAGTAATATTTAAAAAAATCTTCTCACCTAGGGATTTCGTAAAGCATCACTACTCGAAATACTTTTAGAATCCTGTCATTGGGTAAAATTTTCTTTTTCCTTATTTATATTACTCATTCTTAATTTATTAATTAATTTTTATTATTATATTGAAGAAAAAAAATTTTATTGTATTAAAAATTTTTATAAATACTCCAATACACTGGTTGTATTTTAAAAAAAATATTTTCACTTAGAGATTTCATAGGTATCACTACTCAAAGTACCTTTGAATCTCATCATCGGGTAAAAATTTTTCTTTTCTTATTTTTTATTAATTTTGAATTATTTTTATTTAATTAAAAAAAATTTTACCAATTATTTAATAAGATTTATTCAAAATTATCAAAAATTTTATTATATTTTATTATTTATTATTAATTATTTATTATTATAAAATAACAAAAAATTATTCTGGTAAATTTAAAACATTTTAACATGCATAAATATTAAGAATAATAATTAAAATAACAAAAATAATATATAAAAAATCTAAAAAAATTCAAAAAAAAAATTATCTGAACCGGACCGATCAACAAGCGGTTTGGTCCGATAGTTCGATCTGGTTCAACGATTCAATCTAGTTAGGTTCGGTTTGGGTCGGTTCAGCTGGACCAGTCAGAGGGTGAAGAAGTAGCGGGTCGTCGGGTCGGGTGCGCGAATCTCGAGTCAGGTCACGGGTTGACGCGCAGATCCTCAGAGCTCAAAACTGCGTTGTTTTGAGCATTATTGAAACAACATTGTTTTGGTTTTGGCGCTTTCTATAAAAGTCAAAAAAAAAATTCTCTCATTTTCTCTTTTCCCTCTCTCTCTCTACATTCTCAATCTCTCTCTAAAGCCTGTCGGATAGTGGCTGTCCATCATTCTAATCGCCAGCCGTTGTATCCGACGGTGAAAAATCTTAAAAAATTCTCCTCGACTCCCTAAACAAAAATCTGGGCCTAGTTTTGCTCGAATCTCATTGGAACGCCCTAGATTGAACTTCAAAGGTCCGGTCAAACCTCTTTTTTTCCTTTTTTTTTTTACAACTAGGCTGATTTTTTTTTTCAGGAAAGCTTTTGGCGTTGGGTTCCTCCCTTTTTGGGGAGGACTGTGTTTTTTTGGATTTTTAGTTTTTTTTATTTTTATTTTGTAGGGTATCTTTTTGACATAACACTTTTTTTTTATTCTAAAAAAATTTTTTACAGTTTTTTTTCGATCTCCCTCTCCCTATTTCCTTGCAGGTAACAAGCTTTATTTATAGAGCTTTCTGGAATTCAAATCCTAGATTTTTTGGGATTCAAATCCTATTTTTTCAACCTAAAATCCACGGCGCTAAGTTAGGCAACGTGTCGAGCAACTGTCGGTAATGGCGACCGCTGGCGTTTTAGACTTTGATGATGGTACATTTAATGCATTAATACTTTAGTCAACGTAAATCGGATAAAGAAAAAAATAAAGAAATAAAGAAAGAAAATAATAATAATAATAATAATAATGATAATAAAAAAAATTTTAAAAAATGGTGTTTACACTTACTACTCCTCACACTACCAAAATGTTGAAGATCTCTCATCAATTCCCTATGCACAAGTAATTTTATATTTATTTATTTTTGGTATATAGCTTTTAGAATTATTATTTTAATAACCAATTTTGAATTTTTCTATTTTTAATTTCATATGTGATTTTAAATAATTGTAATATATTTATTTAATCATTAAATACTTCATTTTTAAAACATATTTTGAATGAAACATGTTATTTTTTAAAGGATTTATATTTAACACACTATTAATATATAGATTCTATACACTATCATCGAATAAGATTATATTATTTTATTAATAAATTGAATCAGATAATATCACTTCATTAATACAAAAAATTTTTAAAAATTCTTAATTTTTGTATATTTATTTTAAAGATTGATATTTACTTGATAGTATTATCTGATTTACTGACAGTGTATATAATTTATATACTGACAGTGTATCAAATATAAACTTTTTTTTAAAATAAGATTTTAAAATAAAAAATTATATCATCAATATATTAGGTAATAATCCTAACTTTTATTCAAATTCAATTACTATATTATCAAGATTATATATTATAAACTCTTTATTTAGAAATGTAAATCTTATCCATATGTGATAGGGAATTCGATTTTTTATTGAATAAATATGTAAATAGATATTAAATTTTGAAGATAAAGATGAATATAATATTAAATTTTTTATGAAATAGAATATGAGAAATAGTAATACAGTAGTCGTTACGTACCATATTTTATATATATTTAACAAATAAATTTTTATTAAATAAATATAAATTTTTATGTCAAATTAATAAGAATTAATTTATTTTTATTTTAAAAAATATTAATATAAATTTATAAAAAATTATATTAATGTAAAAAATAAATAATAAGAATTATTTTTATTTTTATTTTTATTTTTTAAAAATATTACAAATACGAAAGTTAATCATAGTCATTAAATATCAACAAAAATGAAAATAAAGATAAATTTAAAATACTATTAGATATAAATACAAAAATAAATAAAATATAAAAATTCAAAAATGGGATGAAAAATGTTATATTTGCCGCATTCCCTGCATCCTTGGTCTTATTTAACGTAACAAAGTAATTTCCTTTGGATTCTACAAATGTATCATCGGAAAAAAAAAGGATGAAAAAAAAAAGCCACAAAGGAGTGAGTGGGCTGCTATTCACCAATTACCAAACACACTGTCCAATCATTTTCCACCACGTGGGACCTTAACGAAAGACGACCAGAAAAACCCTGGGGGGGAAAGGTTCGTTGATGTATTTTCTCAGAAAATGGCGTCAGTTATGGTCGTTAAAGGATGACACAAATTGAGGTAATAACTGGCGTAGGTTAAGGGAGTGTGGGATGCGCAGATAAAAAGTTATGCGCATATTTCATTCCTTTTCTTTTTGTTTTTTTTCAAAGTTGTAGCGTTTTCTTTTGCTTATATTTTTGCTGCTTTAAGTTGGAACACGCAGACGCCAACGTTTGAGTGTAGCGTTTAAAAAGAAATTTATTACACATTCTTTCCTTTTCTTTTTCTCACTAAGTATTTTAATTTGTGGGTTGCTTTTGATTCTTTGTTTGCTTTCAGGGAGTGGTGGAAGGTGATGTTTTTACATAAACAACAGAGATTGTTTTGAGTGTTCATTTGGGCTTCTTATTGAATAATTTTGGGTTTTGGCAGTTCTGTTGATCCACAAGGTTAATAAAGTTTCTCAATTTTCAATAATTTTTTTTGGGTTTATGAGAACGTTGAAATTTTTGAAAGATTCAATCTTTTTTCTGCCCCTCTTTGATCACATTATTAAAGTAAGTTTTTCGTCTACAGAGGTGTGCTTGAGTTTTGCTGACCATGTTCTTGTTTTTTGATTCTTAGTTGATAGAGGGCGGCTAAGTGGTAACTTTAGATGACTTGATAGATGATTATACCTTGTAGTTTTGGCGCCAATTGAGAGCATGAGTTGAGCTGGTTATCTTTTATGTTAGTACATGATTTTGAAAAAAACTAATGTTAGTTGATCACTCTCTATGAACCTTTCTTTTTTCTTGTATGAGGATTTAGGCAAATAGATTTCTTTGTCGGCAACATTTATGAAGAATGGAACATTTGATTCATATTTTAGTGGCTTTGAATCCTTGTTTTGGCTCTAGAAATGCTATAATGCTGATCTACAATTTTCTTATATTCAAATTTTCATGTAAAGGGAATTCATAAGGCATGAAGATGTTAAATAGGACTTTTTTTTTTTTTTGAGGTTCAGAAGGGAAGAGGGAACATCTTATTAATAGCCTTGCTATGTTTCCAGCTGCTTGATCTAGTTACAGATATTCTTTTAAAAGTGAATTTCTCTTTCTGGTCACTTTTATTGGCTTTGGAGAAAGCCTTAAATCTTAATCAACAGCCTTAGTTGTAATGAGCACTAGAAAGGGCGGGAAGCTCTTAACATAACTCAATTGATTAAGTTCCCCTTCTGTTCCGAATAAAAGATAATGTCCACTTCCAGATACCACTCAGTTTGATGTTCCTTAGTTGCTTTGTCATATCGCCTCTGCTAATCCTACCATTGCTGATTTTGCTTAGTAGTTCTTGGGACTTTTGGCCCACTTTTGCTGATATTTAAGTGATTTTTGTTTCGTATTCTTTCTCAGGCATTTGTATGTCTGTAATTTTTATGAGCCATGGAGATCTATCCATAGAGAGAGGTCAAGGTACTGTGTGAGCATTGTTGAAATCTCTGACTCCGTGTTCTTGGCTCAAGATTTGACTGCTACTTTAGGAAGAAAAGTTCAATGTAATATTTTTATGCATTCTTCTGGTGCCAAAGACAATTATTCAATCAATCAGCTGTTTGTCTATTTTTGGTTTTCTGTTCCAGTTGCTTGATAGAGTATGAGCTCTCAATCAACTGAACTTACCCCAAGGATGGCGATATATGAGCAATTCCACCAGATAAGCAGGTGGGGAGACACCTTCAATGCTGACGTCAGTCCAAGTACTGGGTCATCAACAATTGTACAGGTGGATGCTAGGCTAGAAAACAAGGTGAAGTTGAATTCATTTTTATTTCTTGGTTGGATGCTTAAGCTTTTTCTTCCAGTTGGAGGCAATAACTAAAATTTTCTGATTTCAATCATAGGCTGAATATATATCTTGTGAGCAAGTTGAACATTCCAGAAATGATCAAGAAACAAACAAACCGGCTTATAAGGTGATCAATTTGCAGCATCTTTTCTCTCTTTCTCTCTCCCCAACACACCCATCCTCCCCTCAAGAACATTTAACAAATGATAGCTGCAGTATCCACTATTTAACCATGATTAGCCTTTATGTCATGTGTGCTACTGATGAGTATTTGTGCTTTTGATATGCTTCAAAGTATTATAATTTTAAGTTCAGACATGAGTGTTTATTTTTTATGTAATGCAATATACAATAATTTCTGTTACCAAGGTTAAAGTATCATAAACTTTCTTTTAATAAAAGGAAATTATTACAAAATCATTTGTCTTTTATTCTTTAGTTGAAAATTCTTTTGACAGGTGAGTGAGTTTTCCACCAACAGTGTATTTCCTGTTCTTTGGCCATGTAATAGCTGTTTTACATTCTAAATCTATTTGTTCTTCTGGACCTCCTACTTGTTTCAATTGTATTTGCTTTTTATTTAAAGACACAATATGTGCAGATACAAAGACGTTTGGCACAAAATCGTGAAGCTGCTCGTAAAAGTCGTTTGAAGAAAAAGGTAGACAGAAAAGGCATGCCATATAAAATATTTGCTTATGGTAGTTATTTCATTTTTTTTATATATACAATTATTTGTGATTTAATTTATCTTATAGGTCTATGTTCAACAATTAGAATCAAGTCGTTTAAAACTAGCTCAGTTGGAGCAAGAGATTGAAAGAACTAGGCAGCAGGTGAAGTGAAACTCTCTCTCTCTCCCCCAGTATGTTTTCATCTTTTATCAGTAAGGCATTTCTTTATTGTCCAAGAAAAAGCATATATTTGTTGATCAGGTTTCTAAATGTAGCATATTTAATCAATTAGGCAATGCCTTAATGCAGGGTATCTACATAAGCAGTGCATCAGATACTGGTTATTTTGGACTGTCTGCAACTGTAAACCCAGGTGTGTAGTTTGTGCTTGTATAAGATATGCCACTGATTATTATTGTTCAATGGTTTTCTTCACTAATGTCATGAATGGAAGTTAGTATACTTGCATGTTTATTGGTTTGTAAAAATCATGCTGTGTAATATTCTAAGCTATGGTATTCTTGCATGAGTTTTTAAATAAATTTGGGATAGTTTTCATTCTTATGGTTTTCCACATTCCCCATAATGGCATTGCATGACTGGAATGCGGATGAGTAATCTATCTATAATCTTAAGTAAAGATAATATTTTTAATACAAATCTTTGCTAATTTTACATCAATTATTGGAGAGGCACAGCACTCTAATATCTTTACAACTTTTTGCTATTGGATATAGCAGATTTCTGGTAAATAATAAATGGTAAATGGTTTCTGCTGTTGCATAGCAAATGCTTTCCTTTCTCTCTATCCAAATTCCAGTTTAATAGAATCCCTTCCCTGCTACAAACCTCATAAAAAAAGAAGCCTCATTTCTTTTAGTTCTGTTTCTCTTTACTTTTTCCCACTTTTGGCTCTTAGATATGGATCTTTTAGAAACTTGGCAGAGGGATTAGTATGCTTGCAGTAGTGAGTCGAAGAAATTCTTTTTCTCTCTATGTTTTCTATATTCTGTTCAGAATTTCTCAGAAGCTTATGGAAAGCTAGGACTCCAAAATAGGACTATAGGAGCCTATTTCTATTGGACATGTCATTAACGTAGTGTTCTTTATCAGTAGAAAATGATGTCCGAAGGTCTCACAAGAAACACACATTTGTTAATATGTTTCGTGATTTATATGGAAATTTCTTTGATATAGCTTTCAAGAAACTAGACATCTTTTACCATGTGCTGTATTAACTAGTAACCAATTATGAGTAAAGGTTTCTCTAGGGATATCACATTTCTCATGTAAATGTCAAGTGCCTACATCTTGGTTTCTTCTTTAGAGTAAGTTTAATTTGAATTGTGCAGGGATTACTGCATTTGAGAAGGAATATGGATACTGGGTTGAAGAGCAAAATAAACAGATTTGTGAACTTAGAAGTGCACTCCAGGCACACATTACTGATGTAGAGCTCTGCATACTGGTAGAAAGTGGCTTGAACCACTATCGCAATCTGTTTCGCATGAAAGCAGATGCTGCAAAGGCAGATGTTGTCTATTTGATCTCAGGCATTTGGAGAACTTCAGCCGAGCGTTTTTTCCACTGGATTGGAGGATTCTGCCCGTCAGAACTTTTAAATGTAATTTTTAGTCTCAAATGACTCTTTTTTTCAAAGACTGCCAATCTGTTATCGGTTACTAATTATATTGATCGTCCTTCTATAGTTGAATATTGTTGAGCATGCTTCATTGTTGAATATTATTTAGCAATTCCATTATAGCATTATCATATAGCTAATTTTAATTGCATGAATAGGGATCTAGATCTTCCTGGCAGTCCGAATAATGTTAGGCCATACCAATAGTGTGTAAAGAGAGATGCAACTCAATTTTCTTCCTGGCCTTTCACTGCAATGAGTAATTCATTCCCAATTCTCTCGTATGATATCTAGACTGCAAACTGGAGAGTAGAAACTTGGAGATCTGTCCATGTAGGAAATATTTTCTTCTGAGCAGCATGTCCAAATCCTAAAAGAAATTATGAGACTTGGTTTGCAGAAGCAATTGCATTTTATTTCACCATTCGAGATCGACTTTTGCTTCACCTTTTATTGCATTAGTAAGAGTAAAGAATAAAGTGGAGACAAGGATGTATACCCGTAATTATCTGAAGTTTTGTTTGGATATTTTATAGTCATTAATTTATTTTGCATGGTCTTTAAACTTTTAAAACAAAAAATGGTCATAGCTGATAAGCTTTACATTATGCTATCATCTTGAGACCCTTTCTGTTCTTGGACATGCCATATGTGTGCTGCCTACTGAGGTCAATAGCTCCTTATGATAACCAACTATTTTAGGGCTGATGCATCAAACATTTAATAAACTTTTCTACCCATGAATTATGAAACTGTGAATTCTGTTTGCCCAGGTTGTCATGTCACAAATTGAGCCCTTGACTGATCAACAACATTTGGAGGTCTGTAACCTTCGACAATTTTCTCAGCAAGCTGAAGATGCTCTTTCCCAGGGAATAGATAAACTCCAGCAGGACTTGGGCCAGAGTGTAGCTGCTGACTTCAGTTCGGGAAACTACAGAGCTCAGGTGGCGTCTGCAATAGATAAACTGGAAGCCCTAGAGGGCTTTGTAAATCAGGTATGACAACGTTTTCATCATCATTTTTTTTTTCCTTTTGTTACATGGAGATAAGCTTGTAGCAAATTGCCAGTTTCCTAATTGGTCTTAGAAAGATAATAATCCACCCCACAGAACGAATTCCTTAGGTCTACATAAAATTATAAAAACAATAATGCAGGTTTATATCTAGCTTTGCTCAAAACTATGATGAGGCTGATGTGCTACTGATGCTTTCAGAACTTGGAGGGAGGAGGGATAATGGGGGTTCTTTGTTTCATGGACATTGGCTTAGAGAACTTTTTTTAAGCTTCACTAAGCTTTAAATTTCAGATGCCATCCCGAAATCACCAGCCACTCGATCACTGCCTCAGACTTTAACAACATCCATTTTCGATATGGAGTCAATCCATCCTCGCCAGGCATCCAGTATATGCTCAATAGAATGCTAATTATCCGTTTAAACTTTTAAAAACTGAGTCTGTAAATACAAATGAACCAAGAGAGAATGTTATTTCCAGGGCAACATTGTCTATAGAAATTTGAATAATTCCCGAGTATATGGTAAAAATATATGAACAAAAAGAGAATCTTATTTCCAAGAAAACATTATCTAGAATGTTGAATAGCACTCGAGTATATGGCCCTAAAATTTACACTTGTTTCCTGGATTTTGCATGTGCTCTTCCCTAAAACAGGCTGATCACCTTCGCCAGCAGACTTTGCAACAGATGGCTCGAATCCTTACAACCCGACAAGCAGCTCGAGGCTTACTTGCCTTGGGGGAATACTTTCATCGTCTACGTGCTCTCAGTTCGCTTTGCTCTGCCCGTCCACTTTGAGCCTGCCTAGTCCACGAACTTAGAGCACCAACAATCTATCCACACTGTAGTCACCAGAAGTTCGTTCTTCAACCAGTAAGAAAGTAGATTTTCGGAGGTCTTGTTGTATGAACTACAATATATAAATATATATATATGCATGCTCATAATTTTTCAGAGAAACTTGTTGACCATAAAACCTGTAAATACGAATCCTTATGCCGTGTATGTCAAGAAGAATTTTAGGTCATTAAAGTTAGATTTACTATTGTTTTATCGTACTATATTGTTTGGAAGCTGGAGAATTATACTAGCAAGCAAGTGATTAACTTATTTTTTTGTCATTTTTTTTTTTTTTGCGTTATTGAAGTTTGTGGGACAAGAAATTTAACGTATTTGATGCATTGAATTTAAAAAACATGATAATAATCATATTTGAAGAGAAATGGGATTTTTCCTTTTTTCCTATATGTTGAGAAAAGTGTTTATTCAAGGAGACATTTTACGATTTGACTTTAGAATTATGATTTTAAAGTTTCTTTTTCAAATTTTGAGATTGAAAGAAGAATTTGAGATGAAAAAAAAATTTTATAGTAATTTTTTCAGTTCAAATTTTAACCAAGTTTATTAAAAAGAATTTTTAAAATGCATTTGGATAGCAATTTCCCAACTGGAAGGAGAAAAATTTAATGGTTCGTTGAATTTTAAAACGTTCGATTGTCTGAAAATCAAAATATTTATCAATTATGACCGTACGAGATAATTCACGATAATAATTTTATCTGAACATAATCTACTGAAATGCACTCTCAAGCAAAAACCAAAAGGGATGGCAGAACCGTTCCATGCCGCGCGCAAATTTTCCGTATATATATAGAAGGCAATTATAATATTACTTTTTATGAATATATTTTTGGACAGAAAAAAAAAATTAACTAAAAAACGAAGATTCAGTCAGATTCAAATGTTCGATGTCAGAACGTTTTCACTTCCTTCACGTCTTCTTTCCTTTTCCAGTTTTCCGAATCAGCCCATGCAAAATCCCCAATTCTCAATAAAACCCTGATTTTTCAACTCTCCTGAAATCTTATTCTTATTTTTCTTGAATTTTAATTTTAATAATTCGAGCTCATAATCAACTCCAAAGAAGAGAAAAAAAAATGAGCAATTTGTGGACAATTTGTAGACCGCACGCGGTCTTTTCTTCGTTGATTTGTTGTAGCAGGCACCACCACCTCCATCAAGCTCGATCTGGAATTAGGGTTTCCTATCGAAATCCTAATTTTAGGCCATCGTCGTTCTCTCCTTGGTTCGATTTGTCCAGAGATTTGGGCAGGAAGGAACCTTTGTTTCGGGTCAATCAAAGGAGAACTGTTGTTAGGGCATCGAATTGGACCCAGCAAAAATCTCCCTATGAAACTCTTGGTAATTATTTTTACCCTTATGCCGTGTTTGCTTGACGAGAAAAGCTCCATTCTTTTACTAGTTTGGTTATATTGCGGAAAAAAATAACTTTCTTTTTTTTGTTTTGATTTGCTAAGTGATAAATTATATTTGAATTTTTATTTCTAAACAACAGAGTTAGAAAGGGATGCTGATGAAGAACAGATAAAGACTGCGTACAGACGCTTGGCCAAATTCTATCATCCTGATGGTATGTGGCTTTTATCTTGATTTCGAAATGTTCAACATGTATTAAGTTTGAAGTGAAACGGATATGTACGAGTTTCAGTATTAGGTTAATTGAGGGCGTCTTGTATCGATCATTTTTAAACATTTTCTCATCATTCCAGTAGCCCTTTGTGTAGTAGCTGCAAATGGCACGTTAGACTGTAAGTTGGTTATGCGGCAATGGGAGATTTTAATCTTGGGAATTATTTGGGGTATCTCTCATGACAGGATGTTTCCCATGTTAAGCGCATCTGACCACATTAAATAAGAAGTCAGCATCTGAGACCATTGAGAGGAGAGTGTAATGATGTTTTGTTATTGTTAAGTTTAACTGGTTCATTTCTCCTTTTGGATGCTATAATAGATGTTTATATCTAGTCCACTGGAAATTTATTGCCACTTCACCAATTTCATGAAAACGTTGGCATCTATTCTTACTAACTGATCAATTTTCAATTTTGAAGTCTATGATGGTAGAGGGGCTCTTGAAGAAGGTGAAACTGCGGAAGCAAGATTCATTAAGATTCAAGCTGCTTATGAATTGCTCATAGATGTGGAGAGGCGTAGGCAATATGATATGGATAACCGAGTCAATCCGATGAAAGTAAGATATTCAATTTTATGTAACTTCGCTTGGGTCTATTTAGATGTTATGCATTTTCTATTTGAGTTGTAATCACACTTATTTTTTAAATTGGTTTTTAACATTATGCACTTTGTTATCATTTTAAGAGTTCAAAGTAATATCAAACTTGAAATTGTTGATGCAAGCTGTGCTGTGAAAGATTTAATATCCTCAATCCAAACTCAATTGATAATTTTAAATTATATAATCTTGCTGTTTTACATTTTAAATACATGGGTTATTAACTTGAGTTCTTAAAGCAACTTGCGGACAGACTTCCTATTAATTTTGTTGCTAAAAACTGTCAATAAGTGCTTTCACTCCCCCCCCCCCCCCTTTTTTTCTTATATTGGTTTTACTTTAAATAAAAAAATGACTTATCAAGTTAATACAAAAAGTGATGTTAGAAGTAATGTATTATTTAAATTGTTTAGTGTGGTGAAATTTCAGTTCTTAAAATTTCTGCCTTAAGCGCATTTTGGATTTTTCAGTCTATCTTTTACTCTTTGTTAGCTACACCCTTAAGAGTGGTATTTCCTCATTTTCTCCTTTCTTCCAGGCATCTCAAGCATGGATGGAGTGGCTTATAAAAAAGCGAAAAGCTTGGGATCAGCGGGGAGATATGGCTGTTGCAGCTTGGGCTGAGCAGCAGCAGCGAGAGTTGAACCTCCGTGTCCGCCGTCTTTCTCGTTCTAAGGTAACTAATTATCTCTAAAACTTCTCTAATAGTGTAAATGTTTTTGGGGAGAATTCTAAACATATTCTTGACTTGCCACTTGCCTCGTTTACCATCCTACTTATGGTAAGTTATCCCAGGGTAGGGCACTGAATCTAATTTAAGTACACCCATGGTTTAGCATTAAAGAAATAGATTTCCATTTTAGAATTTGATGAATTTGGAAAGGCCTCTGTCCTGAGCTTGAAGTTAATTTCAGGAGGTGTCTCAAAAGTCCTCAATACTATTGCTATTACTATTCTTCATTACCCTATACACAATTGACTACATATCATTATTTTATATTTCAATCAAATAGATTGCGAGTCTTTTCAATATAGTTGCTATACATCTCAGAATTTGTATTTGGATGGAATTTCAGATAGATCCTGATGAGGAGAGAAAAATCTTGGCAAAAGAAAAGAAGGCATCAATGGAAAACTTTAGCAATACCCTTAAGCGGCATACCCTTGTGCTAAAGAAAAGGGATTTGATACGAAAGAAAGCAGAGCAGGAAAAGAAAAAGGTTATAAAGGAGCTTTTAGCTGCAGAAGGCCTTGAGCTTGACACAGATGATGAATCACAGTAGAAAATGTTGTATACGGGCCACAACTTAATTCTTTATATATCACTTATTGGACCCCCTATGCATATACATTTTTGTGCTTAAACGAAAGGAAAAAGAGAAACTGTATATAAAATTGTTCCAAATTTAAGAAAGAAAATTGTTATTCTCGATTAGAAGTTTCCTATATCTCCACTTTATGCGTGCGAGTGTATATGTTGTGTTGGATGTCTATGATTGCATGTGCTGGTGCAAACGGTGGTTAAATGGGTAAGACGAGTGAATCTAGAAGGGGACCAGTTCAAAAGCTATTCCTATTGTTTTAGAATTATAGATGAACCAGTGCATTTTCACACCAGCGTCCTAGAATTCTGCAAAATAGATTTACAGTAGACGTTTGAACAAAGTGCATGCTAAACTTAGTAGGAACTGACCGGCTGGCAGGCTTGCTGCTTGGTTTTCTAAGAAACTAGGGCATGCGCTTTAGTTTAAGGGACCAAACGCTCTGAAACATTAGCTTGTGGTTGCCATGCTATATTGTATACAAATAGCTCTTGTGCAAGCAGATAGGCCAGCTTAGACAAATAGTGCAGGCCGGATCTTTGGCATTCGCTGGTTACAAATGTACATTAGCAGTATTTTTAATTGAACTTCAATAATGGAAAGCAAAAACCAAAAAAAAAAGGAACATTACAATTTGGCACAGGAAATTTGCGAGTGACATTCATTATTCCATTTTTCTTTAAGATGGAAAAGAAACAGAAGCTTCGGCTAAGTCTAAGCCATACAGAAATTGTTCAGTTTATCAGTTCCTTGAGTATCGGCAAGCCTTTTAGTTTGAGTACTTGCCGAATGTTGGAACAATTTGTTACAGACTTTGTAACAGTGAAGGAAGGAAAACAATACAGGCTTTGAAACAGCTCATTGGCTACAACTGAATGCATTTGATACTTGTTGAGAGCCAGCACACTGGCCTTCTCTAGGAGAATCTTTGAAGCCCTATAAAGCTGTTGTGCAGAACGGGAAAAATTGGAGCCAATTGACTCACGGTATGTGATACTACAGTTCATTTCAACAACCATTTTTCAATCATTCCTAGCTTCCAAAGAAAACAATAAAGTGCACCACCGTGTCTGACCTTGAATAATATACAGAAAGCCATGGGATTCCATCCCGTCCTTAGCACTGAGAGCATCTTCGGCACTTGCATAAGTCGCATGTCCAGAGGGCCAGATGATGACTGAATCTTGTGCTCTGCCTATGCAATTAATCAGTCCTTATTGCCAAACAATAAAGGGATGGATAAAAGATTATTGAAATGACAATAACATTTCAGTCTACAAAATAGAAGAGGATTTCGTTATATCGAACCACTACCAAGCTTTTCCATGAAACATAAATGTCGGAGAAAGCAGCAGCAAGATAAAACATTGCATGAGGACCAAGGCTTCTCATTGATAGCGCAATCATCCTTAACATCTGCTCTTACAACACAAAAACATTCAGGGAAGCTTCTAATTATAGGTTAACAACTCTGAGAAAAACCTCATCGCAGAATTGTAAATTAGTGGAGTACCCCGTTTCTTTGCAGCTTAAAAAAAAGAAAAAGAACGTTCTATATAATTCTTTTGAGAAAATGAATAAATAGCGCCTGTGGCCTAATGGATAAGGCGTCTGACTTCTAATCAGACGATTGTGGGTTCGAGTCCCACCAGGCGTGTTTACTTGCTAAAAATTGTTTATGTTTATGTTTCATCATATGATTAGATTACAATAATTTTTAGTATTTAATTGCAAAGAAACACTGTCAGATCAATTTTGCTTGGTAAATCAGCTGACAAGTAAGCATTGTTTCTGAAACAGTCTGGTCAGTGGTTACTTTGTCAGCTTTGGATCTCTCATTATTTTTGTTTGTTTTCTTTGTTTCCTCATCTGCTTGTTTAGAGAGAGAATCCTGCTCTTATGTCGTTAACCATCTCATCTAGTAAAAGCATTTAAAACAAAAGTACCAGATAAACAAATGCTTTGTCATTCATATTTTTATACTGAAAAAACAAGACCAAATCCAGGCAGTTGCATGAATTGAAAATCAGAAGCTTCTTTTTTTTTTTTCAACTTTCTTTCTGGATTTTACAGAACATGATTGCAGGCAGCTTTGAACTACAATGGCCGCCCTAAGCTTACCTTAACCATGCCACTAGGCCACCAAGTCGCAATGTTTTTTAAATACAATATTTTTAGTAGTTGTTTTGACACTTTTCATCATAATGTGGGGCTATAGACTTAGCCTGCAGCCCCCATTTTATTTTTTGATTTGATCCAAATATTCGCCTTCAAATTCTGCACAAGTCTGTAACAATCGCCTAGCAATAGGCCAAGAAAGTCACACTGACACTACTGCATTTTTCTTCCCTTCCTTTTGTTTGCTTTTTTTTTTTTTTAAATTACCCCACTTTTTAAAATATCGATAAATTCAAGACTGATGCTTTTCATGTATATATATTCAATGATCAAGAGCCCCACTTTTGGTTTTGAATGGAATTTCGGCTTAGAATTCATGGCTTCACCGGACCGTCGCACCATAGGCCAAAACCATAAATCTTGGACGACGGTCCCTCACCACCTTAAACAACAAATAGTCCACTAATCCTTAAACCTGCATTTTAATCAAACCCAGCAGTCTTAGTAGCACTATATTTCCCTTTCCCTTGTGTATCTAACAGCTGGCTTGTCATTGATGCCAACAGGAACCGTCAAGAGAATTGTCAGCCATGAAAAACCATTCATGGGAGGCCATTTGTCACATAACAGCTCAAGAAAAAAACCAGATCCAGATAGGATATGTATATATGAAACGGGTGTTCATCAAAGTCAATGAGCTGAGATTTTACTGCTTATACATCAAGTGATTCCATTTTTTCCCAAAAATGTTTGGTGGAATGTTTTATACTTTATTACCTTGAGTATTTCATCAACTGCAGAAGAATGACTGAGTGACAACGTTTTGTTTTCAAGGAGGTTGAGTTGGTGAATTGCACTCCTGGTCAGGATCAACAAACATGTAAGCTTTCAAATTTTTATTTTGCTAACATCTCCACAGGACTTTAAGCACCAAATTGAGTGTTGCAACCATTAAAGTTACAACATGTGGCATGTTCCCACTCAGCACATGATGAACGAAGGTCCTTAAATCAATTTGGCATTTGCAAATTAAAAAATTTTCTTCTAAATCAAAAGCACAATCATGAAAAGAGAGTATACCCCCTAAATAGCTTTCATTGGAAGCACTGGTACTACATTAGATTACTATAAATGCTTAGCTGAAGGCTCGAGGAAGGTAGTAAATTTATTTAACTTTGGAGTGCTCCCTCTCTTAGGGAACGAGAAGGGGCTAAAAGGTACTCTATAGTAGGAAGGAATCCTGAAGTGGAGTTTTGGGCTAGTTGAACCAAAAAGCAAAGGGAAGGAAAGGAAAGCAGACTCTTCCCATCCTATCGCCATCAAATGTTGGACAAAGAGGGGAAACTAGGCGTATAAAGTCTATGCCCCTAAAAGAATTAAGCCTATTGGCCTTAAAATTTGATAATTGTATCCTTTCTTCTCAACTCATATCATCATTTCGTCATGTCCTTTCCCCATCTATTTATTCTTTTTCAAAGATATACTAATAGGTTGACTTGACCTCAGCATTTATTTTGATATAAATCAAGTCGTAATCTAAACATAAGTAAAAAATTTATAAATATTGTGATTTAAATTTTAAATTTATTAAATATTATTTATTAAAAATAATTAAATAAATCAATTAAATAAAATTTTAATTTCGATCCTTTTGCATTTTTTCTTTGCTTACTCTCTTTTCATGTGAAAATGTGCATGTTAAACTTGTAAGTTGGAGGAACCCTAAATTTTGCTCTTCCTTTTTGTTTAAGTCAATTGTGCATGCATTAACACCCATGGGCACGTTTTTGATGGAGAACAGAATCGAAGAAATGTGAATTTCATGTCATATAGTTACCAATGCTATTTATGCAATAGAAGAACAAAAGCAAGTTTGCTACCCCATCTCAAGCGTCGGCTTGAAAACCCATATTGAGCTCTTGGTCATGTCAATATAGTGTATTTGTGGCCCATTTTCTTCGGAAAAAGTAGCTCACACTTGCACGACACATTATTAAGGATTTTTCTTTTGTTGCTGTGACCACAGAAAATGAAGGTTTTATTTTGAAATTATTTGGTATGCATAAGTAATAATATACTTACTGCTAAAGAAATTAAATATAAAAAAAAAAAAAAAAATTTTAAATCTTAAATTCAACTCAATTCATATAATTATTTTTAAAAAATAATATTTAATAAATTTAATATTTAAATCTTAACATTTATAATTAATCTTTTTATTCCCAAATTACAACTTATTTTATACCAAAAAATAATTTCCTTGTCGGTTGGCCCATGTATAATTATCTTCAAAGTTCACCTTATCTCGAGGAAAAAACCTTTAAAGAAAAAAAATAAAATAAAACTGACCACCCGCAGATTACATGATGGCTAGTGTACAAAACCAGCAAAATCATCAAAAAGAATCCTTATAATTAAGAAAACTCGTAAAAAGGTTTTAAGAGAACAGAAATTGTTGGTCCAATAATAAAAAATATATATTAAAAATTTTTATTTTTAATTCATATAATTTTAAATAAAATAAATTATGCAAAGGGCCTACTGAAAATTGCATGATGCTATTTCTAAGCCCACTCTTTGGTATGATTGGTTAGAAACAATGTTTTCATTTCGCATAATAGTTTTTTTCTTCATTTTTTTATTTTTTTAGATTAATTTAAATATTTTAATTGTTCCCCAAATCTGAGACTAAGCATTTGAAATTTTGATCGTAAAAAGTTCATATCATGTGGCCCAAAGGAAATGAAAAATCCCACGATAGAAGGTTGAGCAGGGGACTGTAAATCCAGTTGTTTAGTTTTTGGGTTGACACCTGCCCTTGAAATGTTTTAGGTACTAACACTTTTACCTAGCTTTACTTTACTTTTTTTTTTTAAGTTAAATTGGGTCTCTTTTCTAAAACAACTTTAACGTAAAGGTAAAAAAAAAAATTATCTTTAATAGAGTAATGGTTAGATTTTTTTTTGGAAGTTATTAATAAAAAAATTACAATCTATTGCTTTTTTTTTTTGGCCAATATAATTTATTACATTTAATAAGGCTAAAATAATTTTTAAAAAACCCTAAATTTTATCATTTTATTTAAATAAATTTTTATATTTGTATTGCACTCATATAAATTCTTAATTTTTAATTTACATCCAAATAAATATTTAATTTTTAATTTGTACTTATATAACCTTTTAATATAAATTAATTTTTTATTTGAAATAAGGGTTTATATAGATACAAATAAAAGGACTTTGGGTATAATAAAAATATAAAGATTTATTTAAATAAAATAGAATAATTTAATAAATTTTTTAATATTTTAATTTTCATTAGTTGATTTATTTCTTTGATTTAATTTATAAATTTTTTATCAAAGTCACATATGATGAAATTTGGCTGAGCTTAAAATTTAAAAATTTTATGATTTCTCTTTTATCATCGAAACAATGTCTCATTGACAAAATTATTTAAAATACTAACAAATGAAAAACAATGTAACCCATTTCACTTGTATAACGAGGAATTCCCTTTTCACAAAATCCTTAGCACATATATTAGGTAGTCAAAATCTAATCTTATATTAATTTTAAAGTTTAATTCAATTGATTTATACAATTATTTTTAAAAATAAAATTTATTAAGTTTAATATTCAAATTTTAATACATACAATCTTTTCTCTTATTTATAGATCGTAACCCCTTTTATAAAAAAAATGTAACCTTAAATTGAATCTTTCTTAAAAGAAAAATAGTTAATTATTTTTATCTAATCAAAAGTTTAATTGAATGAAAATAATTATTTGAAATTTTAATTGAATGAAAATAGATATTTAAGATTCAATTAATTCAAAATAAAAAATTTAGAATTTGATTGATAGCAATAAAATATTATAAATTTAAATGATTATTAAATTTTTATTTAAAGGCTTTTTAACCCGTATACTTTTTTTTTATGGATGTGACTAAATAGTTCCATTATTTAGGTTTCTTCTCAACTATAAAATTATTAATAAGAAAATTAAACTTAAAATCTTCTCATTAAAATGTCTTTTTACTTAAAATTTATTATTTTATATTTCAACGATAAAATTTTAAATTTGTAAATGAATTTAAACAATTCATTCACTTTCTTTTCTACTTGTACAAGAAAAAAAATTGTATCTTGTACATCTAACACATGAAATTTTTATCAAGATGTGTTTAATTATTCCTTGAAAAATGTGAGATTTGGGTTTTGAGCACTTGTAATTTTTTTTTTCCATTTATACGAAAAAGTTACTATTTGATTACTTAATTAGTTTGGATTAGATTCTAGTTTCAATAACTTTCCACTTGATATTCTTTTTCTTAAAAGGCCAAAAAAAAAAAAAAAAGCTAATGCTAACTCCAAAGTCATGAACCTGGACTTTAATTTGAGGGAAAATAAATCATCTATTTTATCTTAATTAAAACATAACTATATTGAAGATTGAAAAAAAAAAAAAAGTATTGAGTGATCCCCTAAGAAAACCCAAATTTAATTGAGTTGAGCTAATTTGATAAGCAACTTATCAAAATTAGTATCAATGAGTTGTTAATTCAATAATATTGGAGTCTATTTTGAGAATCTCAAATTCAACTTTCATTAGTTATTCAAGATTTAAAAAAAAAAAAAAATTTGCCAAGACTAGCGATATCTTGCTTCTCTATAACTCTTTAATTTCTAGTTTCTAGCCCCCTTTTGAATTTCCATAATGAAACAATTATTCCTTATATCATTTTCATTTGTTGGAGGCTCTGAACCATCCAGTTGAATCCATCTAAGATCATTAAGAAGAAAATGAAACATTACCTTATATATGGGGTTTCTTGATGTGATGACAGGGTTGTGGTTGTACTAATCTAACCGTGTGATGCATTTACTTTTAGTACAATCCATGGACTGATCAAATAAATGAAATTAAATTTAGACCTTGTATCTAACAACTATACGTAATTTGACACATTTTCGCTAAAATATTGTGTAAATTTTTGGCACGATA